TGGCGTAAAGCTTGCGTGTACACCAGTTTGTACCCCTTCCACCGCATGGGATGCTGGTTAATTAAGAAAAGACAGGATCTTCTAGTACAAACACATACTTTCTTAAAAAAAAAAATAATTTCTTACAATTCCCGTCTTTTCTGACATGCATTTATAAATTGATTTTCTTGAAAAAATAAACCAAATAACTTTATAAAAGAAGTTTATAAATGTAAAAATTCTTTGAACATAAATCTCCTATAGACAAATTAGACCCGGGACAAAAGGGAATGGCTTTGTGAGCGGGAGCTCTTGCAAGTTTTACTATGGTCCTGGAGCCAGCTTGGTCTCAATGGGGAGAGAGGCATCAAAGTGACCAACAGGTTTAGCTGCTGTAATGTAGGAGAAGGATGCTGTCTGATCCTTGGGTTTTTTAAAATTGTTAATTATAATGGTAGCAGCTACTTTTCTGCTTGTAGAGACACCTCAAGAGGAGAGTAGTTACTTGGTGTGTTTATAGGCAGGACCTAGGAGGCACCAAGCCATGTGAAGAGAACATTAAAAATCAGGAGGTAAATTACCCACACCAGAAACCAGCAAATAGTCAGTGCAGACCTTGATATGCAAGGTTGTTCTGTTGACTAAAGTCTGCCTACAAAGAGGAGCTGCATCTCAGTTGCTGTGTATGAGAACTTAAGACTAGAGACTGAAACTCTCAGCTACTACAAACACAAGAGAGGGAGTTGGAGTCTCACTCCTAGCTCTGAAAATCCCCTCTGAGGAGGTGGCACGGTTAAACAAGTGCATGAAGGTGACCCTTCATGAAGGAGAAGCCATGTCCATGCATGTCCTTCTGCTCAGGGTTTGCCGGGGCTGGCGCCGAGTGCAGGACACACTCTTGACTCCCTCTCCCAGTCCAAGTGGATGCTACTCCTCACAGAGAGCAGACGGCTGGAATTCCCTGCACTGTTTCTCTGGTACCTAATACCGCAATTGCAACGCAGCTCTTCTGTTACATTTAAAGTCCTTCTCAAGCATGCAAAGCCACTCTGGATTTGTATCAATCCAATTAAAATAGTAGATTGGCATGAAAATATCCATTACTGCTAAGCAATGCTGGCTGATGCAGATGAACCAGATTGCCTCTGTTAATTCTGTATTTTAAAATTTTGTTTAAAAAAGACAGACATCCAATTACAGACGGCAATACTTCTTACTTTTTAGTGATTTAAGCCAACCAAACAAAAAAATGGCTTTTCTGCTCATCCATACCTCAACCTTTCCAGCATTAAATGACATGAAGCCAGTTCAAGGATCAATTTATTCCTTAACATCCAGCAGTGCCTCTCCTAGCAGAAAGCATTAGCTCACTCAGCTCATTGCCAAGTTTGTGTTTACTTTTACGGCTGGAGAATGTATTTGTAAATCGCATGGGTGTACTGGAGACGATCACAAGCAACCTTGTTTCTGTTTAACTTTTCTGTCTTTGTTTCAATCTCCTGAATTTATCTAGCTAACAGACATTTAAAGAACAGTTTATGTTCCAATGCTTTTATTGTGCTTCCATTTATTTCCCAGAGCCCCAAACATGTTGCATGGGGAAGGTGGAGCATGTTTTAAAAGCCTGCTGATTGTTATTCTTAAGTAGAGCTCATCATCCAAATCAAGAAGGTCCCCTAATCATCAGCCTCCCATTACTTTCCAATAACATTTTTTAACCTATCGGCCTTAGATAGCCATGTGCTAGAATACTTCTGATTTCAGGAGTGTGACAGAACCAACTCTGTGCAGAGAAACTTCAGCTTTCATTTTCCCTTCAAATTTCGCCTTTCTTAGATCCTGCTTAATCATGCAGAGTTTATGCTACTTTCTGCCTGAAAAAAGGTCTCTAGTTAGTAACTGAATTTCATGCAAGAAACCTACCTCATCTTCTGTAAGAGATGGATCTTCCTCTCGAGACTTGTAAGAGATCGAACTAAGCCTCTGTAAAAAAGGAAGGAAGAAAGAAAGAAAAGAAAGGCTCATTACCAGTCAACAGTGTGAAACTGGTAATAAAACCTTCCCATTAAAATCAATACATTATATTTTATGGTCATTTGCTCACTAGTTTCATTTTACTTTCCTAATATCCAGAGTAGAGCCCTGAGGTTAGGAGAGCTTTTTAATCTATGTGCTCTTGTCCTGACCTGAAAAGGGTAAAAATAATGTAACGGTTAAAACAAACTCTGTTCCGCTGTATCCCTGCCTTTATGCTTCTAATGAAGCAAGAAAGAGTCTGCAAAGGCTTTTGAACAATTACAGGTCAGCTGTGGTGACACACTAGTTTGCCTTCCACGTGATATGCTTTTAGATGACAGAAGAACAATACTTAACTGGCACCTTCCCCCTGATTGTTATCCTTCATTCAGTGGGCCCTGGAAGTGCTGCAAGGGAGGTGCTGTGTCCTCCTCCAACCCAAAATGCGGCAGCAGCACTGCCACACAACCGCTCAGACCGCGAACAGGGGAAAGACCCGCTGCAACCCCCCCGAGACAGGCAGCGCAACCCTCGGGGCACCCGCCTGGGTCCAGTTCCCATCGCAAAGTTACTGAAGGATGGGGGGCTTGGTTTGGCATCACATCTAACTTCAAGCATGTAAAGCATCCTGTAGAAATTATGTCACGAAAAGCATTTTGCTCTTAAGCGAAGTGTCTTTGGACTTTTATGGCAACAAAGATCCTGGCTACCTCACAGCAGCGTGTGGTCCCTCCCCCTGGGGTGAACAAGGCTTTGCTGGACTCCTGCTCCACAGCAATTCAAAGGGGCCTTCCAGCACTGTTTGTAACGGGCTGTTACAAACAGTATTTTGGAGTTTCATGCACATTCTCCCCTTAAAATACTTCAGACCTCCTCCAGTGCAGACCAAGGTGGAGAAATAGAGCTATTTTTTATCACAGACAATCAAATACTGCTTCCAGGCACATACTAGACACACAAGACTTTTTTTTCCACAGAGGCTCATTACAAGAGATTCTTTCCTACTTCCATTTTTCTTGGTGTTTTTACTTCTAGTAAATACAAAGCTTCAAACTTCTGGGGCAGTTCCGATGAAGACCCTGACACAAAGTGCACTGAAGTCTGCCTGCTGCTCCCCAGGGGGCTTCCCTCACATCTAACAACTCCCTTGCTTCTTTCCCATCATCTGGAGAACGAGCTCTTTAACCTGTGGTTTGTTTACTCACCGAAAAAAAAAAGAAAAAAGTTCAAACATATTTTGGCCCTTTGTTACATCTGCTTTACTACAGCAGCTCAGTTTAGTCTTTCTTATTTGCAGGATATTTTTCCTGTTGAGGAGTAAGTTACTAATTTCATCCTTACACATTAATACAACCATGTGCTTGCAAAATTCTTCAGTGAAGTTATTTTTTCTCATCGGTGTGTCTGTAAGCACCATGTGTCAGGACCCCTTCTACAGTTTCCCACTCAAGTACTGACAAATACCCCATGGTGTTGGCAATCCTGTTCTTGTTGCCCTGGGACCTAGTGTTCTTTCTTCTAAATGTGAAACCTGTGATGCATCAATTTTGAAGGATATTGTCCTCTTGGAAACTGAAAAAAAATACTTGCTCCTAGGTTCCTACTTTGTACCTAGCCATATGATAAACTATGCTTTAAACTTCAGCAGCAGCAACACAAACAGCATGTGTCCTTATTTGCCTTCCACTTTTGTTCCTTGACAGCACTTGATTTTTAGCTCTTTGGCTCAGCTGCTGCTCCTGACTTGGGCAACCAGAACAAGATGACTATTCTTCTCTGGTACATTTGTAAGAGGTGCTTTGCCCATCCTCAGGCTGCGCAAGTCTGGAATCAGATGGCAGCAGCCAGATGTACGCACAGGGAACATTTCTACCAGAGCTCACTCTGGAAAGACCTGGGTGAAAAAGGAGATCTCTACTTCTTTTAGGAAGAACTAATGAAAAACTGTTCTGCCTCTTCAGTTTTATTAGAAGAACTACGCCCAAGTTTTTCCAGGTGGTAGGGGCCTGTAAGAGGCCTTGTGCTATTAAAGGTGTCTTTCTTCACCAAAACCTTCCAAAGGATTTGGCTGGGTCACAGCCAATAACCATTTTAGAGAATTAATTTTCACCCATTTATCTGGCTCTTGAAAGGATCCTTTATCCTTTTCGTGCTGTTATATTCTGGAACGGTCTCTGACTTGGTCCACCTAGCTCTCTCTCAGATGAGTGTGCTTCAGGAACTGGCATGGGCTGGGGGTCCCCCTGGCTGCCCTCTTTTACAGGGCGAGACTGACACAGCCTGGAAACGATCTGTTCTCTGTCTACTGGCAAGTACAAGTCTCGGGTATGTGAGCAGCTGCCCTGCCTGTCCCTTCATTGTACCCTACTAAAGCCAAGCCTAATTGTAGTGAGACAGACTCACACAACTTACGTCCAACCTCTCTCTTCATCAGGGTCACGGCAGAAGGTTAAAAAGCTTGGGATATGGGTGGCACATTAAGGAGGAGAGCTGAGTAGCCTCATAAGAGAGGAAGCAAAGAGAGACACCTATGGAGTCTGTTTAACTAAGAGAGTTATCAATGTAACATCCATTTCCATAAACATCTTGGTTTTGGTTGCCACATCGGAAAAAATAGGCATTGCTCTGCATTGTTTGAAGTGGCAAAAGAGAGGGAAAAATTATCATCATCACAACAGAAAAACAATCTTGCAACCACCTCCCCACACAATGCCAACAGTAATGACATTTATATATTCCATCGATTACCATTTCCAACTCTGCTGCAGCTGTAGCTCTCAAGGACAGGACAGGCGCCCGCCTCGATGCATAATGCATGTACCTAGCAGCAAATGCGGGAATGATCTGATGCTGCCTGAGCTTTAACTCAGGATGGCTTTAGCTCTGAATAAATTTTAATTAGACAAACACCTTTTTTCTGGCACTTAGGGGACTGCATATGTCATCTCTTGATTAATCCTTCAAAACCTGAACCATTTTAATCAATTCCCACTCCTTGCAGTTACTGACACTGTATACACAGTGTGCTGGGGAGCTACAGAGCAGCAAATGCTTTTCCCTTTGTACCGGTGCCTGGGAAATACAATGATTTTCTGCAAGTCTTTTCACACCTGGTAGGAAAAATGTCACTGTTCTGGAAAGCTGGTTCTCTGAAAGTTTAATTAGAAATTACATATGGCCTGAATTTGGGAGGAGGGAGTCTTGGTGAATTATTGTTGACAATCACATCTTAATTTTTTACTTAACAAGCTCATTATTTTTAAGAATGTGCACTGAAGAGTCCAGATAAATGATTTTTATATTACAAGTAGTCTTCAGTTTATTCATTTTGATTCTATTGTGCTTTATATGTTACATGGTTAGTCAGTTATTTAACAAGCTATTTTTCTGCCCTCTGCCTGGACTACTGAAATACTTCAAATAAGAGAACAACCACAAACAAGTAACAATACCTCGGCTCTGCTATGATTTTTCAGGTAAATGTTTATATTAAAACATCACGTCTTAAGGATTTTTTTTAACTTTTCATCAATACCTAGTATTGTTTGATGACTCACAACAGCAAAATATTAATCTACTAGAATCACAGTTTTTCATTCACAATTAATATTAAGTTATCTAAACTAGTTCTGACAAATGGCAACTCAACAGTTTATGAAAACTCTGTGCGATGATCTGAAAGCATCCTTAAAATGAATTCTGATGAAAAATGGGAACATAACTCGTTGAAAACATCATCATTTTGTTTTTCAAGGAGTTCACCACTAACTTGTCCCTAGACTGGGAGAAAGAACAAGCTGCTGAGAAAACATAACTTTTGGCCAAGATTTCAGCAGGTAGAAATCAATTACTCTGTTTATGTGACACATACAGAATTTGACAAATGTAAAAGCCTGCAGCTGCAACCTCTCTCTCTTTCTGTCTGTCTCTCCCACAGAGAGACAAGATGAGTGGCTTTGAACAGACGCCTAATACTTGCACAGCTAAGTCAAGGTGGCCCAACAAAGAAGGCACATCTAAAGTTTGGGCATCCACCAAGAATGCCCCCCTCTCCTTTTTGTAAATTGAGGCTTCACTACAAAAAAAACCAAAGGGGGCATTCTGAACAAGATAGAGATGCTGACAGAGATATTGGATACCTATTGTAAGAGCTCTCACAAGTATAATACCCTTAAACAAAGAAGCAGAGGCCTCCTATGCAATTTCTGGGTAAAGTTTGGGAAAAGCCTTATGAAATGCATACTGCAACAATCCAAAATATAGGCTGCAATAGAATAAGTGCCTATAATGCAAAGACTATACATATTTTAAAGTCTTGCATCACCTTGAGTGCTGTTTTTTATCTTGGCATTTTAAAAAAAAAATCCTCTCCCACCCATATGTTCTCTATCATCATTTGGCTGTTTGACAAGGACAAGTATTTGCAGGATTTACCTTCTCTGGTTTACTTGCTCCTTCTGTCACTTCTTCTTCCACTTCTTTTTCTTGCACATTCTCATTTTCATCAAGAAGTTTCATGGGTACTGGAGGGGGAAGCTCGTCCTCTACATCTGGTGTGTTGTCAAGAGGGCTTTCTGAATTAGCACTTTGGCGACTTTTTTTATTTCGGTCAACAGATGCATATTCTGCTGATTCAATTCTGCACTCAGGAATCTGATTCTGACCTTCACAAACTGCCAGTGAAGCCTTTGATTTGTTGTTACAGCTCCCTGTCATGCTGGCTACTGCTCCAACATCTTTAATTTCCTTCACAGTTTCATACAAGCAGTCTTCAACTATATTCTCCTGAGAGAAGCTGTCTTTCAAGACTTCATAAGGCCCTTCCATTCCAAGACCTTGATCATTTTCTGCATTTCTAGATGAGATTATGGTTTCCATGGTGGTGTTGGGGGGAATACTGGGTAGTTCCCGGCTCTGGTGACATTTCATAGACTTTCCAAGACTATCCTGTTGATCTAGCAGATCAGAGACAGACGTCTGTACTTCTTCATAAGGCTGGATACAGGCAGTTGTACTGTCCTCCGAGAGTACTAGAGAAAATTATAAAGTATTTAAAACAAATGTGTAACTATAAGGTGAGTGCAATTTGGTACTTTCTACATCACTTTGGTTTGTGTCTCATCGGGAAGGATAAATGATACTAACACCTGGAAATGTCAGTTACAGAGATTTCTGCGCCCTACTGTTAAACTATCTCACAACACCTCTGTGCACTCCCAAGTCACATTAAATAGCAACAGCATTCACAACAGGAACAGGGGATAGGTGGGTAGGTGCAGATGTGTGTGGATGTTCAGCTGTACTTGGTCATACTGAATGCTTACAGACTGCTCAGAGGTCTCAGATGGAGAATGCTGGTGGGAGGCCTCGAACCAAGTGCCTTTAAAAAAAGCCTTGTTAGATTTTCCTCTTTCCATTTCCCTGTCCTTTGGAATCAAAACAGAAAGCGTTCTTGCTTCCTCCCTACCCAGCCCTCACCTTGTTTAACTTGCTGGCCAAATTCTCGTTGGAATCGCGCTTCACTCAGCCCTGCCGCAGTCAGCCTTGCTGCACGCTACACCAGAAGCTCCTTGCTGGAAGGCTATGCCATACTTCCCTTAGTCTCGCAGCACATAATGTAGGTTGACAACCTACTAACGAGCCAGCCATATGCACAAAAGAGAAGACTAGGCTTCAGAAAGTAGTGTCAGCCAGAATGTGTTATTTGAAGTCTCGGAAGCGGGTCACACGTTGCTTCAAGTAGAGGGTATTAGGGACTGAAATCTATGGGACTTCTCACCTTACAGTGCACATGTATGACATCTGCCTTCATTCAGGAATGTATACATGGGCATGTTTCAGGTAGTATATGGTATGTAACTTTACATGACCATTTCTTTGAAAAACCACTTCTGAAGAGCTTTACTTTTCTTAGTACAGTTCCTGTGGTACTCTCTCAACAAAATCAATCCATTCTTCCATTTCCTTCAGTGTGTTTGACATGATGACATAATGTGTTGCCGAAGCCATCAGTACCTTTGATCTGGTGGTTGTAATGGATGTTGCTTTGTCTTGTGCTCAGGGCATGCAGACTCAGGCAGTCAGTGCCTGCAGAGAGCTGTGCTGTGACAGCAGAGCTCAGGATGGAATGGGAGGTGCGAGATGGTAATCACTGTCTGAATGGGAGATGGAAGAAGAAGAAGAAAAGGAAAACATCCTTCTCCATTCACTTGGCTCCTACATATAACTGGGAAGGAATAGGAGACAGGCAAGGTGTACTACTCATCCCCAAGATGCCTGCAGACTTTCTGAAGACATTAGGAACCATTCTGGAGAAACTGGAACACATTCTCCCTTTCTGGCCCTTGCTGTGCAGAGCACCACCACAGACCCCAGAGAACACCCACTCCATTCAGCTGGGCGGGGGGGGGAATAATCAGAAGCAACGAGAGCTCGTGCTTCTGGGCTCCTGTGGTTATGGGTAAATAACACAGAAGGGGTTGGTATAAATAAGGGGTTGGCATAGATAAACATAATGCTGGCAGGCTGGTAAAGGAAAAAACCCAACGTTTGATGGTGCTGCTTCCATAGCCCTGCCCCTGCTGAAAACACTAGTAGAAATAGCAAAAAAAAAGAGAACTATTAACAAAAAGAATGCATAAAGTATAAATAAGAAATTAAAGCACGTTGGTTCCTGTTATTCAGGAGTGTTGTTATGCAGAGTGTAAGCTGAGTAATATCAGAGAGTCTGAAAACTGTCTGCTGGTTGACAGCACAGCTTTTAGTAGCAGCTCTGACAGTACCACGTGTGGCGGCTCATGGAAAAGAGAAATGCTTCCCTTCTGCAGGGCTTTGCTCTGCACGTCAAGTCCCTTGGTGAGCCACACACCTACATACACAACCAGCCAATGGACGGAATCAGCGACCGGCTGCAAAAACAAAGTTTAAAAATTCCTTTGCATACTTGTCTCTGAGGGGTAAAGTCTGAATAGCTTAGCCTCCCGCTGCACAAGGAGATGCAGAGGTGAGCTGTACAGGGGGAGCGCAGCCCTCGGTGCCAGTGCCTAGCGTGGAGATAACAGTCAGCCCCCAGTGGCTCTGAGCCGAGAGCGAGTTTATTTTTAGGTGCAGCTGAGTAAAATATTTTCCAGTGACACTTTGGTGTGAATCATTTTGAGTGTTCAGCAAAGCAAAGACTAAGGAAAGAAAAGGAAGCCTATTTATGTTGCCTGTTTTCTAAAATACAAAAATAGAAGCAACAGCCTTGCACAGCACAGGACTATAATCCAAAGCTGTAGTCCCTGGAGGACAACCTGAAATATTTCCACAGCCTCCTGGAGCACTTCTGAAGCTCTAAAGTGCAACTGCATCTTCTGGTCATATCCCAGTTCTGTACCTGGTCAAGATTAGGGAATGCCACAGTCTTTGCATGATGGCCTGGTCAATCTGCAGGTGTAGCCTGGTGGCCCAGAGGAGGACCTTAGCACCTTCCCAGTGTTGGCTGGCGTGGAGGACTGGGAGCCAGGGTGTAGGGCCGTGCCAGAGCACGCCTGGGAGGGAAGTGGAGATGCAGCCTAAAACACCAACATCGCCATGGGATGGGCTACTGACTTCGCAGTAGGGCAAATGTGCTCACTGCACCTTTTAACTGGATCATAAGTTTTGTGTGAATTATGTCCTGTGCAAAGAGGACTGACTGCCCTCCATAGAGCTGCATGCCTGGCCACTGTCCCTGGGATACCGCAGCCGATCTGGTGTTAGACCTCCAGAGGCAAGCAGAGGGAAACACAGGATATTCAGACAAATGGCATGCGGTGTGCTTGGAAAGGTGATGGCTAGAAACCTAAGGCTGGAGCCATCACCAACATGCAGCTAAGGTGGGAGCTGCAAGCAAGGGGACTACGCTGCTCATTCATCCCACCACAGGGGCTGCGCTACTCACCCTCACCATTGCTGAGTGCCCCATTCTGGTCGCTGCTGGGAGGGGGCTCTGTAGCCGAACTTGTGATCGAGTGGCTGAACACCTCCTTGTCAGAAGGCTGCAAAACAAATTAGTGAGCTCTAATCACTGCTGGATGAGAACAATGGTTTGCATAAATAAATACATGACAAATTTCAGTCTGATCTTGGGGGCTCTGACTCACAGGCACTATTGGCAGGAGAGTCAAACCACGTCAACTATACTGAAAGATTTAGGTGCCTGTGTTTGAAGATGTTTAAACAAATAAAAGCGTTATGTCCAGAGTGATCTCCCTTCCAGCCTTTAAGGTAAGAGACACCACCACGGCTTTAACCCATGAGAAGACGGCAATGGACAAAGGGTACGCTGCGCTTGCACTGCAAGCGGAGTGAAAGAAAGGCAGGAGATCTGGAATACAATGGTGGCAGAAAGAGCATTGAGAAAGTGCAGATTATCAGGGTCTACACAAGTTCTCCTCCTTTTCTTCTTCTGCAGCTTTTAAAGTTTCCCTTGCTCAACCATCTCCAAATTCCTGAGCTATTTCCCAATCTGCAGTATTTTGCAAGGAGCTTGGTACAAACCAACCATAAGACAACCACAAGCTGCCACAAATAAACACTTACCACATTCATCAGATTTTCGTGATCTCCATTCTGATGTTTGGCCTTCTTTTCCCTTAATGAAAAAGACATATGAACTGTTACTACAGATCATGCTAATACACAAATGCCAATCATTAATAGACCTTACACACCTGCAGGGAGTAGAACTGTGATTCACATTAAATATTGAAAATGGAACACCTGAAAATTATTACAGGGATTGGTATGACCTCTGTGTAAGGTCACCATCAAGGTAGGGTGGTGATGAACATATACCTGAAGACATACAAAAACCACACACAACCCTTTTTCTTGTTCAGTGTAAGATCGCAGTAAGGAGTAACTGATAATAAAAAGTTATTATCCTCAATTTAAACACATCTGAAATGTTTAAAGATACATGAGATACATGTTTTGATGACAGACTCCCTTAAACTGTGACAGTAAAAGGTGTTTATCCTATGAAGAAGTAGAAAAGGCCCAGAAAATTGAGCCTTCTCCCACTCAGGATGTTAGTTATAATTAATAATAAGCATGAGCAGTTCAAGAAGGCCTACAAATGCCATTGCAGCAGAGGCCTTGAACTTGATTTTGAAATGAATGCTGCTTCACTGGGTATTTCAAAGGACTCAAAGTAGGGTTCACAATTCCGGTTTTTACCAGTTTGGAAATACAGCTCTTATTCTGATATACTGTAATAAACCATGAGCTTAAAATAATAATAGAATCATAAAAATCACAGAACGGTTTTGGTTGGAAGGGACCCTAAAGACCATCCAGTTCCACCCCCCTGCCATGGGCAGGGACACCTTCCACTAGACCAGGTTGCCCCAAGCCCCAACCAGCCTGGCCTTGAACACTGCCAGGGAGGGGGCAGCCTCAGCTTCTCTGGGCAACCTGTGCCAGTGCCTCACCATCCTCACAGTGAAGAACTTCTTCCTCACATCTAATCTCCCCTCTTTCAGTTTAAAGCCATTACATTGTCCTATCACTGCCCTCCCTGATCAAGAGTCCCTCCCCACCTTTCCTGTAGGCTCCCTTTAAGTACTGGAAGGCCACTGTAAGGTCTCCTCAGATGAAAAGGCAAGTAAAAAGGTGAGAAAATATTGACAATACAAATTCTGTGCTGCTTCTGAAGTCTGCAACACACCGTACTTCCCACATTAGCAACTGTTAAAATTCTACCTAATTGGTAAATCAGAAAATGGGGCAAGTAAGTCTGTACCAACCATTAAGGTTTACAAGCGCTTAATTTCCCCTCTGGAAGTTTTCTGACTCTGACATTTTGGAAAGAGCAAATTTTGTTCAGTATTCCATGTCCTCAACCATTTGTGAAGGGTAAGCTAGGAAGAAATTTTACATAATTGCATTTATGCATAAACCACCTGCCCTACAGAATGACCTGAAACAAAAGATATTGCATACAGACTGGCAACACAAGAATTTATTGAAGAGCATCACCAGATAGTTTTTGGCAATGAAGCTCTGTAATTGCAAAGACATACTCAGTGGTTTGACTCTGTTTCAAGAACATCCTTCTAGAGATGTTTCAAGGACTGGAGTGCTACAAGACAAAACATGGTACCTAACTGCAATGTTTGTGGGCTTAAGGATTTTTAAAATAGGTTTTATACTTTTAAATAAATAAAAAAATACATATTTCTACTATTTTTATACAGGTATCACAGGAAACTGTGATGAATAGGAAGATACTGTAACATCACCTAACAGCTTAAAAAAGCATCTCTCCTGAATCATAGGAAATTACAAGTTCTAACTTAGGCTTTTTAGTGTTTCAACCAACTTCTGGGGTCTGGTCTCGCCCATGGATTTTTTTTGTTTGTTTGTTTGGTTTTTTTTT